CCTGCAGCGCTCCTAGCAATTGATAAATTACAGCTCCAGCAAGACTATCGGGTTAAACACCAAGGAAGAAAGAATGATGACAGTAATACTTGTCATTTGTGTGGAGATGTAGCAACACAAAACCCTCTCTCAAACATATGTTATCTTGGAGGAATCTTTCCGAGGGATAGGTTTTCTGAGAAACATTTATGACTTTTGAATACACGATAGGCATGAACTTGACACGACCTACTTTGGCCAAGCCCTGGGCTTCAGCCTGGTCTTTTACCACCACAAATCAAATAGTCTATTTGAAGTGCAGTCAGACTGATATCCTCACTGAGATGACAAGGTTACAGCACACACCAGCTTGACAAAAAACAGGATGTTTTTGTTCTCAGGATTTAAAAATTCAGAAATATTTTTACTAAAGCCAGAGGAAAATGGCTATGTTCTACCCATACACAAAAGCCAATACAGTGCCTGGGATGACCAAAATATTCATTACATCATTGAAATGACAGCATTGACATCATTATATTATACTCAAACCCCTCTTTTTATCTTGGCATTGGAAAATGCAAGGAAAAACACAGGATATAAAGGCTCTCTACTAAATATCCTAGACACAAGAGTTGTTTTTTCCTCCTGACTTTCCACAGCACCATGCTGCAAGTTTTTGTGTCGTCCCATCTCAAACTTCAGCTTGATCTCACACCAACGTAATGCCAAATTGTCAATTTACACTGACTTTTGAGTATTCTCTTATTTAATGAAATACTATGGTGTTGGAGAAATTGGACAAAAGGTGGCACATGTTTCCAAGGCCTGAGACACTTCTCAAGGGGTACTCGTCTCTAAGGGTCCTCTCCTCAGCCCGGCACTCAACAGCACTAATTGTGTTACGGATAAAGCTGTAATCACTGAATTAACAGAAAAACAGCAAAAGCATACACAGTATATGTGATCCACAAGGCCTTCACTGGTGAGAAGAGAGGAAGCCTGAACATTCAGGGAGGAGATACTCTCTGTGAGCTCTCACAGGACCACTTTCCTTTCTTCCTGAGATATTCCATATATAAGGCACCATTGACCTGGCCACTCTCGTAGCCCAACTGCAGCAAAGCCACTGATGGGCTTCTGGAAACGGGGCTAGAGACGCAGGCACGGCGTGGTGATGGCCTGTGTCATACTCTGGGTCACCCTAGATGATCAAAATGACCTTCTGCTCTGTGATAGGCCTCTTTGATTGCCATTCTCCTGCTAGTCATAATTAAGGAAACTCTATTACACAGTTCAGATACAATTACAGTTGTAGTACAAACCAATCCAAAATTAATCTAAATATAATGGTAAAATTTCTCCTACGTGATTGAATAATTACTGCAATACAACTCCAGTAGGGCAAAGATCAGGAACATTTCATATGAATATCAGTCAGAAACCGGCATTTTAGAATTGTATTGCTCATTCATACAACACACATCACAAAAACAGACCCACTACAAAAAGCAAATGTAGAGGAATTGAGCTAAGAATCATTAAAAACATATTTTTAAAATGAAGAACCACATTATTACATATAATCGTTCTCTTTTCACACTAATTTGTTTTAATCTATTCATGCTTCTTACAAAACATTACACAAAATTTTAATCATAGCATTGTTTTCTTTAAATATGTGCATTTCAGTAAATGACACTTGCGTGTATAAATTTAGTGAGTTAAAATGTTAGACTGACGCTAGAACTGAGCAGTCATTTATTCAGAAAAAAAATTGACTTGTTTTCCTGTCTGTAAATTTTCTATGGAAAGCTATTACTTTTTTTCAGTATATTCATTATTCAACCTATTAGTTGAATAGTCCTACAGAGACTTCTCTGCTTTTGAATCATTCACAGCCTGTTAGTTCCAATTATTTCACATTTGAAATTTGAACCCCAGTCCTTGGCTTTTATTGGACGTAGACTTTACATGAACTGATGCTTTTCTCCAGTTGAACAAATGTGACCAGAATGCAGATGGAATAAGTTTTGCACACAGCATCAGCAGTTCATGTCTGTGTTTCAACAGGAGTAAATTCCTTAGCTATAATACGAGATCAACGTGAGCACAAGCTGAAAGTCATCTTAGGGTAATTCTGAAGAAGCACACTCATCTAATAAAGACCATTATTCCACAACTTTCAATATCCGGGTAGCACACACTACCAGCTTTTGCCAAGTATATGCAGTTGTGGTCGCTTCTAGAAAGACAAATCATTTTTAGAAAAATAAGTCTCTGAATCTCTGTGCTATACTTCAGAGTTGTCTACCCAGCTGTTAGAGGGATGGAGTTATGGACCTGGAAAGCACAGCCTCCAGAAGAGCCATGTGAGTGAGTTTCTGCCTTTCCCTTCCCATCCTAATGGCAGCCTGAACGCCGCAATGTTACCAGGACTTTTGGGCAGTGCCCTGAAATTCTCCTGCGAGGCTTAGGAAAGCAAGGCTGATAGCAGCCTTCAGTCTTCTGAGGCTAGGTAAATATGAAAATCAAAGTATTTATACAGTGGAGAGGGCGAGAGGAAGGGGTAACAGGCAGTAGTAAATAAGGAAAAAAACCAAAACAGTTGAAAGCAACTTTATAAGGAGTGAGAAGTGCCCTAGAGTGGTCATTAGCCATGCTGCAAGGAATGAGATACATCAAAAAAAGGGAACATTTGCTGCAGATATTATGAGGTGGGAAGGATTGGAGTAGGCCGTTATTCTTGAAAGTATTTAATGAACTGGCAGATGGCCCTGTGGTCAGGACACAGGAAATGCAAGTCCCATTTCTGCTGCAGGCCTCCTGTGTGGGATGAGAGAAGTCACGCTGGTGCCTGAGATCACCAGCAGAAGATGAGCAGCCCTGGCACAGTGGGCACTGGGGTGGCTAGTGTCAAAGAAGCTATCAAAATTGATGGGGGATGTCCGTTCCACTATGGGAATTCCTCCGTGCCTCCTCTTGCATAAAGCCATCCAAAATAGGCAAGAACATCTGCTTTTGTTTTCACAGTAAAAGCTTACACTGGAGGAGATATGCACATTTGGGAGGAGAGCACATTCCACAGTGGAGCTCTTTGTAATACAAACAATAAGAGACCATCCTGGGAACATCATTATTTGGTGAACTTACTGTGTTCAAGAGGACAGGGCTGACTGTGAAAGTGGCAGAAGAAGGTGTACTGACACAAGAGAGGGCCCCTCTTGGCAACCAGGTGGCAAGGCAAACCACCCAAGTGCATGGCAGAAGGGCTTCTAGTCAACCTTCCATGGGCTAACACCAACACAACAGTCATCACTTCCCTCCTTTATTTCTGTGGACATTTCAGGAACTTAGCTGCTCCATCTCTCCTTCAGCAAAACAAAGGATTAATATAGAAAAGTGCAACAAGCTCCCAAAGCAGGCTAGTCTTCAGACTCTGTCTCTTTGTACACACAAAGACAAATATTTCTAAACAAAGTTACACCAAAATGTGAACTTAGGGCAGGTAAAAGTACCTGATGGGAAATTAGGAAAACTTTCACCACAGTTAGTGGTTGGAACGAAACTGTCAATGGAGGTGCTTGAACATGAATACAACCTATTTTTAAATGACAGAGCTGTTCAGCAGAAAGATAGAAGATTTCAGGTTTGCTGTCCTGGACTGTTTTGCCTCAAACCACTCCTCTAGTCAATTATGCAAAAGCCATTCAGCAGTCAGTGGCGGAGCAAGACTCACTTGACTACAACTTCACCACTGACATAGACAGATGCTTCTGTTCTAAAGCTGCCTGAATTGACAGAGTTCCTAATATCTCTGTAATGCAGGTACTTGACTAGATCTTAGAACATAGAAATATATATACATTTTTAATAATTTCTTAAAACGTAACTGGTAAAAATGGTTTCTATTGCCCTCTTCAAAAATCCTCCAATCAGCTAACACAAGGAACCACTATTTCAACAGAAGTGTACCACATGGGAATGGAGTAATTCCAGAGATAGATTGAAGCCTAAAAGAGTTTTCTTTGGAATAAAGTACTTACTTCAAGATTAGAAATGGAAGAGTTCTTGGAGGGGGCAGAGAGGAGAGAAATGCAAATGAAACGACCTATAAAAATACATTAATGCTCATATAAATGGCAGCTACAATCACTATAACTTACTCATGCACGTTCTTTCTAGTATGAACATTTGTCACCAGGACAACAAGTATGGCTGGCAACTACCATCAGAAAGATCTAAAATTCTCCTGTTGAAGCAGACAATTAAGAGCTAACCACTGAATAACATTTTGCGTAACCAATTCTATTCAGCTCAGTGAGCAAATTATAAAAGACAAATCAGATATATATATGCAAGTCCTAGTCATGTGGTTAAAGGAAAAGCTCAGCACACCAAATTAGTAACTTGTTTCTATACCCACTGCATAGCTACATTTGCACAACACATTTTCTGTAACATTACCTCTTTCCATTCGAGAGCAGAGCTCCTGTGCTGGTGTATCGTGGACTGGGCTGTTTCGCTGCAGTAGTAATAGTGTCTAGAATTCCAAATAGGAAGTTTATACTACTATGAAAAAAAACCTTTAAAAAATAATTATTAAGTTTTATCAACTGTTTGACATACCTAGAAAGGAAGGGCTGGGTAGTCGGGTCAAAATAAGCCTACAGAGGTCCTGAACCTACTAGTCTGAAAAAGCTTTAGCTTCCAAATTGCTGTAATAATGTGAAACTTTATTTAAGAAGCACAGGCTTCAAAATCATTGTCTGAACCACAACACGGGACTACACTAGCCACTAGGCTCTCGTTTAGACTGCAACAGTATTCCCAAGTCCAGTCACGGTCTCTGTTGTGGTAAGGATATAAACACACAAGAAAAAGACAGTATCTGCCCCAAAAAGCTTATTACTGGAACTGTGGGCAAGCTTTGTGAGGGGGTAAGGGAGGGCGAGAGGAAGAGAGGGTGACCCTCAGAAATGTTTCTGGCTGGTGGTAAATGTCTGCCCTCCACCTTTCAGGATGGCCTGGGACTCCCTGTGCAGCGGGGACTTACTGCGCCCCAAGATAAGAAGCACCTCAAGCAGGACACCCAGCAGCCAGGGCAGCGCCGAAACGCCGTCCCTGGAGGAGCTGCGACGCCTGCTCTGGACACGCAAACACCCCACAGGGCACGTGGATGAAGTCTGGCCAAACCTCTACGTGGGAGACCTGTAAGAGAGAGGGAAGCGTTGAAGGTGTTAATGCAACTCTTAGCCCTGACCCTATTCCCTCCCCAAATCTTCCATTCCCTATTTGTAAAGACAGCTGGGCACTAATTTGGGGATCTCTCATAGTAAGTGTTGAGAAAGGCTGAACTGTGCACAGAATGCTGTAGCACAGAAAAAAGGCATCCTAAGTGACCGAAAAGAATATTCCCCCTCCTGCATTAGTACAGGAGCCCTGCACTGCAACAGCCTGGTGGGGCCATGGCATGGTACCGCAGGCTGTCACGCCAGAGCTTGGTGAAACAGGATCAACCTCATTTTCTCCTCACGTTGTCAGACAGCATCAGTCCCCTGAACTGATGGATGCTCAGCAGAGGTGACTCGGTGAGAAAGCACACCAGAAAACTCTTGGCTTGCGCAGAAATATCACCACCTTTTTATTTTTTGTCAGTTGAGAAGAGCCACCTCAACTAATGTTTGGGAGAAAAATGCAGGAAATGTAAAAGTCACTTTCTTAACGAGCCACTTCTGCCTTGAAGCATTTTGGTGGACGCTTTGGACGTGAACAACCCATCAGAAAGTAGCCAGTCCAACTTCATGTGGTTTTAACAAACTGCACAATCAGCAGCATGTTCTACCCTTCACTGTAATGCAGCAGGTGGATATAACTCACCATCCTTCTTCCAGGTACGTCGCTCGTGACAAAGCACAGCTGAGCCGACTGGGCATCTCCCACGTTGTGGATGCCACTGCCGGGCGACTTCACATCGACACGGGACCCAAGTTCTACAAAGATCTGCTGGTGGATTACTATGGAGTAGAGGCAGAGGACAACCCAAACTTTGACCTCAGCATTTACTTCTATCCAGTTGCACGATACATAAGAGCAGCACTGAATTCCCCAAGAGGTAACTAGACCCTCTCTGCACGTTAAGTACCTTCTGCTTAGGAGCCAAGTAGGGCACGTTATCAAACAGTACTCAGCAAAAGCCAACCAGCTGCAGATGTGGGTAAGAATGGAGTCACTCAAACCAAGTAGCATCACACCTGCCTCCTGAACTCCCACAGTGCGTGGTATTTCCCCTGGAACAGGGAAGGATGCACTGAACAAGCTTTGAAAGAAGTTTTCCCTAGACCTAGTGCTATTCAACATCTCTATTAGCAAAAGACAAAATAGCAAGTAACTTTCATTACCTATATCAACACACAGACCTGGGAGGAGGCACATGCACTTGATCTCCTCAGATTAGTGATGGGATTTAAAATAAAATCTGGGATGAGGTAAAAATACATAGGCAAGCATCATATTTGAGTACAAAGATTCAACTACAATGCTACAAGCTGTACAAGTCCTACAAACGCAGGATAGGGAAGAATTTTCTGGGAAGCAATTCTGTAGAAGAGAACCTAAGCCAGGAGATAATGTTATGCTGCTGCTAGAAAGAGTATAACTTTGAAATAAGAAGATAACCTGCAAAAGTCCTTGGACTCACTAAATGCAGGGCAGTTACAATGCCAGAGGCCTGGGGTTAGTGGGGGATCATGACTATTAAGGACAAACCCTCACAAAAGCAAGTCTCCACTTGCCACAAAACTGTAAATCTATACAAAACTGTATAGATTAATAAATCACTTAAAAGTTGTTTATTAAGAGAACAATTATACACTCAGCAAACTGCTTTGCTTGCATCACAGCGAGCTTTAATATCAACAAGGGTCCTAAAACATTAATTACCCAGCTTAATCACATGCAGCTAGTAGATCTGATCTAGACACCTAGAGGTCTACACCAAACAAGCTAGGAAAGGGAGATGCAGTAACTGAAAGCAGTGCACCTCCCTGCTAGATACCTCAGAGTTTTCTCCCATTTGGAGGGCTTAATCCATCCCAGTAGAGAGTATTTGCCTTTGTTAAACTGAGGGCTGCATTTTGGATTTCAAAACCACTAACATATTTGGGGATTTTGGATCTGCACCCATTTTGATTACAGCATGCACTATTTGCAATTGAAGTCATTATTGGTGGTGCTCCAGAAAAAGGTAAGATCCAAAATCTTTTCATGCGTGTGTAAAAAAACCAAAAGTTCCAAATCAATTGACAAAAGACAGGAGACAAGAAATGAATCATGGTGGCACAAAAGCAAACAAAACCAGTGCTTTGCAAGATGCCTGCCCAAATACTGGAAGTTATGAATGTAGAACAAGTTAGGGCTCAAGGCAAACACAATGAACTCATCATGTCTCAAGTGCATATTTATCCCTACTCCCATGCTTTTAGATATTGCTTTACTGAACTCCATATGGAAGCAGGGTTCTGGGAATGGAGACAAGGTGAAATTCAATCATATACAGTCCAGCTGTTGCTGACATTCATCATTTTAAGGAAAGTGCAACAGTTTAGAAAATATATAAACAAGATGTTCTGGAAGCATAATTTCCTGAGGTACAGAAATTTAGCAGCTAAATACCCATGACCTGTGCAGGGATGAGACAGGGAAGGGATTGTTACTCACATCATTTAGAACAACAGAAAAAATGGCATTTATTATAAGCAGAGGTGCTGAACAAAAAATTATCCCAGGTGACAAGAAGCCTGTTCATATTAAATTCAGGATGTAACAAGGTACTTCTGTTTGATTGAGAACTTATTTAAGACTGCTGCTTAACTATTACAAGCAAATTCAACATTTTATTTTTTTTTAAATGGAATTAAATTATCTTTTTCACCTGGGAGGATAAGTCGAAGTTAAGATCATATGAGGCACAAACATATTTAAAACTATGAATCAAATACTCATTAGAATTAAATAAGAACTGTTACTCCTATCAAGATTCAAGAAAAATTCTAATGCTTTACACAACAAGTCCAGAAAACAGCATGGGCAGATTTATTCTAGATTTCTTACCTTAGCTGAACAGAATATGTCTTTGGTGATGTGAGAAATTAATTTTTAAGGCAATTCCTTCAAACCTGGATGCCAGAGCATGAGCAAAAGGAAGCTGGGGAGCACGCACTCACATGCTCCTAATTGGGGACTATAGTCTTTTAGGAAGGTTGCCCTTCTCCTTCTGCCCACTATTGCTGTTCCTGTCACAGTGGCCAATGGCTGCAGCACACCCTGGACGACTTTTGTCATCATCTTTGTGGTACAGACTAAGAAATACATGCACTGCTCTTGCAGCCATGCCACATAAGCATTATTTTATGAACCCTGCTTCCTTGGCAGCTTTTTCCTTGAGTAGAGCCCTGCTGTTCCTTTGCCCACGTAACAGAGCTGTGTGGGAAGGCTCAGCCAAGAGCCAGCAGATGCACAATGTGCCCCCTTCCCTGCAAGGAAAAACATGGTGTCAGAGAAGTATTGGCCTGATCCCTCACGCTCCTCCTTCACTTCAGGGAGGGGGCAATACCAGTCTTGCCCCTTTGCACGGCCATCTGTACACTTAGTATTTTCCTGGAGGGCAGCTAAACCTAGGCTGCAAATCAGCAGGGTTTGGTACAGACTAGCAGAAGAGGGAAAGGAAGAGAACTTGAGAGCACAGATGAAAGCATGCCACGAAAACTATTAAACACTGTGCAGAGAGAAAGATTTCCAAGTAGAGAGCTTCTCCTTTTATTGACCTCAGAACATGTTTAAAGCAGGCAGGTTAAAATCAGCCATTAACTTCCTGAAATTGCAAACCCTCTCTAAGGCATTTCCCCTTCTTCCACTTCACTGGAGCAAGGGAAAAGCTCAGCTCCCTTCTCCTGCTGCCTTTTTAGTGGTGGTGGTTAAGGAAGAAGCTTAACTCAGGAGAAGAGAGTCCTCTCTCTTGACTCTGCCATTCATGTGTTACATACATCAGTTTAACTTCCCAGTCTCCAGCAGATGACAGCCCTTACCTGTTCCAGGAGGTGTGGGAAGAAGGGACACTCCACCCTTTAAAGCTCTCCATGGGTTTCTTGCCTTTTTCAGCTGTAACAAAAAGGACACTTGATTAATCAAGGAATAGACACCTGATTCTGTACCTGGCTACAGGACAGTGGCTAAAACCTAACAGGGGATGAGACAACCACAGTGGAATGGGAAGAGCCCCTGGGGCACATTAGCCTGGCTGAGCTCTCCTCCTGGAGAGCAGCACCATTCTGCTGGATTCAATGGACCGAGGGCAGCTGGGGTGTTCACTCCGGGTGACGGTCTGGAGCCTGGTCTTAAGCCAAATTGAATCCATCCTGCAAGAAATCAAGGGCTAGTTCAGGACATTTAGCTCAGTTAATGATGAGTAGCAAAAGGACAATAAGATATTATGTGTTTTAATGACTAATTTGTTCAACAACATTGAATTTCCCAACTTGAATTTGGCCAACAAAGTTGAATGTGCAAACTTTATCCCTAGTGCAAACCCTTTGATGTCAGTAGAGTTACAGCAGGCATGAGCTGGATATAATATCCATAATCCGTTGTTAAAAACCAAGTGTTATTGTTCTGCACAAATCCCAGCCAGATGACAGTTATTGTCTGCCTCTGCAAAAAGTAGCTTGAGATGTGCAGTGCAACATTTCAAATAAGGATTGCAAGATTTAATAATGCCAGAAGCTAAGTGCCCCCACTTCTCCTCAGTTAATCCCATTATTCCTAAGGGATCCTGTTACACGCTCAGAGAGAAGGTTGCAACATGGCCCTGTAACGTGGGATCCATCCAACTTCTCTTCACACTCTATGTTAAAACAAATGGGGGTGGGGAAGGCAGAGCTGGAGGATGCTGGCTTGTGGCATGGATTCCACGGGACAGAAGATGTGGTTCTAACCTCCTTGCCCACCCCGTGATGGGGGAATGCATCACGACCACCTCTGTGAACATTGCTTTCCCAGGCTGTGGTCCAGCAGCCACCCAGGAATCCCAGCCTCGGTGCCGGGACGGTGCATCTCAGCTGCCTCCCACCGTTACGGAGCCCACCACAGGCAGCCCACATGGCAGAGAGATGCTTCGGGCACCAGCCAAATGCAGTACATCATGGTGGGTTCAGAGTGTCACTTAACCCATTTACAGCTTCTGCTGAGGGACAAGGGTCTGAGGCCGTAAACAGAACCAAACAGCAGCACAGCTTTTGTTTCCCGACTCGAGCTTAACATTCAATTTGTTTGCTACAAATAATCACATAGTAAATTCAAATCTGCTTTCATTAGAGCAATTTTGCATTAATTAAATCATTTCACATGACTGATTTATCTGCAACAAACAGTCATTTTATTGTCAGTGCACCAGCATTTATCATAACCTCTGCGTGTGGTGAAACAAAGGCTAAACAACGTGGAGTAGATATTGTACACGTAAAAGAGATAATATACTTGCATCCTCACGGGAACAAGTGTATTAGCCATGCAGATCAAGTCGAAGGTCAATAGTTAAGGCTTGTCCAGGTTTTTGCTGAGACACCTTCTAAAGCTAGTTGCTGATCTAGGAGGACTCTTTTGAAGTGCAGATAAGCCAGAGAAGCAGGGAAGAAAATTGAGTGTGTTCTTACTTGCCACCTCCTCTTCTCAAACACAGAGATATAAAATAATTAGATATAAAATGGTAGAAAGCCAGCCTGTACAAGCAGGAGCCTGGAAGTTGTTCTGCTTTCTGTGCCCCCAACAAAAACACATCAGGCCATATTTAATGGCAGCATCCATACCTGTGCCAGCTCGGTGTTCCCTTCCAGACTGCAGGTGGGGCTGAGCATATTCCAAGGCACAAGGCTCCATCTGGGTGGAAAAATAAAATGGACTTAAGAACATTTTGATGGAAATTAGGTTCAGAACAGAAACCTTCCTGACCCCCATCCAATTTCTGGCCAAATTTAGATTCAATTTCAGAATATTTAGTGATTCAAAATCAAATGCAAAATCTAGGACATCTCCTTTTGGTTGCTTTTTGGTTGTTTTTTTCCCCCTCTTGGTGCAGTTCAAACTATAAATATAATTTCTCTTCTAAAAGGTTGTAGAGCTCTAGTAGCTTAGAAGTTTTCAGACAAAAGCCCAAGAAAGCGGTTTTGGTTCTGAGAAAATTTTTCAGAACTTGTTGTTCCTTGGATTCTCTTACCTGGGGTGTGCATTAGAACGAGTGTCTGGATTTCCCCAGCCCCTGCCACTACATTGCAGTTAGGCTGACTGCAAACTACTAAAGCATGGATTTTCCAAAGACCTTTTGGCCTTAACCCTGTTCACAGTATTTCTCAAAAAGAAACTGTGCTCCTGATTCCTATGTTCCTCTGAAAAATCTCAGACCTAGGTTATTTGGGTCTGAAGTGCCTCCTCTAGGGAAGATAACACAGCATACGTATCCCACAAGGTTGGTGTCAAGGCTAATGATAGTGCAGCACATTTAAAAACAAAAAAGTCTAGAGAAAATTCAAATTAGTGTTATTTTTTAGCAGGGGTGCAAAGCATATCTCCATATTCCCATAAAAACTAAGCCTTCACTTCTAAGAATCCCCATGGAGTTAATGGAATTGACAGATAGATGTAATTTAACTTGAATAATGGCATCGGTATCTCAGTAAATTCTGTGAAGGTGTATCTGAATGGGAAAACACAAATAGAAATCACTTGATCTTCTAATTCTGCGAAACTGACATTATGCTGGAAAAGCCTCTTCCTTCCCCCAAAGGTGTCGATGCTCAGTCCAAGCCTGCTGTCACCAGAGCTGTGTTTGCCGCTTCCTTGGAGACTATATTTGTCCCTTTATTTCTGCTGAAGACACGTCTATCTTTAGGGCTGAGCTCAGATTTCTCATGCCAGGATAATGAAAGGTGGCTGTGTCACAGACATTGTGGAATTCAACACTTCTCTCAACCTGCTGGCCAGAGCAGGGTTTTGCAGCACACGCTGGCGCTCTCTGAGCATGTGGCTGTGCCATCACCATTAGTCAGAACTGGAACAGTTGCTAAATACATACTCTGCCACAAACAAAAAAAGGGATTTAAGATGAAAAGCTGTGCACAAAGTACCCTGAATTAACACCTGGGGAGGTGGGGGCAATCAGTCTGAGGTTTTTGGCTGGATGTAGGCTCGTCATCCAACAAGGATATTTTTGTCTCGCTCCCTGGTAATACAGAAACTAAAATGCTGGGAGCACAAGCAAAACAAGGAACTAGCCCTGAAAAGCTGCCCCTTCTTACATTTCATCAAGAAGAAGAAGATATAAACTGTATTGTTGTTAAATTGCATTCTATACAGCTATACAATTACTAAACAAGAGACTACAAATATGGGAGTCTAAACAAATTAAAATTTAAAGAAATGCAGAAAATATTTCATTTCAAACTTGTGAATATTTCCAGTGAAGAAGTGTTCTGAAATTTTTGTGCTAAAATGGCAACATTTTTTTTCAGCTGTCCATTAGGTGGTCAAAAGTTCAAATCTGATTTTAATCACTGGTTACTTCAATAATGGCCAATTGCTGAGCCATGGTCTCTGTGAAAAGACTAGATCTGACTGTGGCAAAGGACGAGAGTTTGACAATTTTCAGGCATGGCTATAATTGAGTAGAACAACAGAAGATTTTTTTTCCAATTAAAAATTTCTCATTGAGTCTTACCATTTTTGCAGAACTTGAAGCATTTTACACTACCCACAAGATGCAGGTTTTTAGGTTCCAGGAGGAGTTCTTTGTTCACATTCAGAGGAAAAGGATGACAAACATGAATTTTTCCCTCTGAAAGCAATCCTTTGGACAAAATTTCCTTTAATTTCACATAAGACCATTTTAAAAAATGTTTCTCTCCTTCCAGCATGAGTCAAAGACATACATTAGAAACCTGGGAAGTAGCCATGATACAGAATTGCATTTCTCCAGCTGCTTCCATTAGTGATCACAGCAGAAAACCCCAAAGCAGAGCAGAGGGAAGGAGAGAGCTACTCCTGGATCCCTGGAAGGTCTTCCCCTGAGGCTAGCTTAAAGTAACATGGAAGGACTCACAACACTACTTATAATGAACTCTTAATGAAGATGCACACCTCACACTGAAATCCCTGGAGAACTCAAAATATTTCATGAACTGTTTTTCTAGTGATCACCTAGTACAGAAGATAAAGGCATTCGGGGAGGATAGTGACCATAGATGTACAGGGTAGGCTATAGAAATAAAATTTAAGAAAACAAAACCAAAATCAAATAACAACAAACATAAGTAAGCTGATCTGTTCCTAATGGTAACATCCATTTTCTCACACGCTTCCAACAAGGTCTGGAAGTTGGTTGGAAGCAGCCAGCACCCTCAGAAAGCATTATTGCCCTAAGCAAAGAAGAAAAAAGAGCTTGTGGAAAACCAGGAGCATTCCTGTAATAGCAGCAAGCACTCCTGAGCATTGCACATTTGAACCCCCAAGTTTCCAGGCCCTCTGAGAGCAAGTACCCTGCCAAGGCTGCTTCTCATAGGATGGCCTTCAGGTATGAAGGCTGAAAGCTTTGCCATCACTCCCAAAACCATGAATGCTGGAATACAATTAGGAATTTTCTGTCCCCAGCCATTAAACCCACCCCCCGCTCCCCAACCAGCACGACACCAAGTCTACTCTGCAGGGCTGAGCACACCAGCTTGCCCAGCCCCGGTGTCACCACCACGTCCATCCCTGCTCCAGCATGATACACCCCACCATTTGGCCTCCTGGCATAATTGCAGCTCTCTCTCTCTCTCCTTTTTCCAGGCAAAGTGCTAGTTCACTGCGCAATGGGAATCAGCCGATCGGCGACTCTCGTCCTCGCTTTCTTGATGATCTGCGAGGACATGTCCCTTGCTGAGGCAATTCAGACCGTCAGCTCACACAGAGGGATCTGCCCCAACTCCGGCTTCCTCGAGCAGCTTCGGCAGCTGGATCTCCAGTTACGAAGGGGGAAAGGCAGAGGAGCAGAGGCCTGTTAGTGCCCAGGGGGCACGTCTCCGGGCACGGGACCGAGAGATGTTGCCCTCACCGAGGACAGTGCAAGGATGTTGTCAGGACTGCTCCACGGCCACACTGAGAAGCTCCTTGGGAAACGGCTGAGCACGAGCAAGGTGGCGGGAGTTCGGTATTTATTTTTTGGATATGCCCACTAATTGGAAAGAAAAATAAAGAAGGATTCAAACCAGCAGTTTCGCCCACCTGGGCCTGTTTTTTTAACTGCCTGTTGGGCAGGGCACAGGGAGCAGTTGGGTTTTTGTGCAGAATTAAAAGGCAACACAGTCAGCTTGAAAAGAGACTTTCTAGTTGCTAATAGTTGCATTTATATGGCAAGAGGGAAAACGGCTGAACTTGTAAAAAGAAAAAGAAAGCATGAGGTTTTTAAGCAAGTCTTTAACATTTCACATCCAGCTGGCATGGGGCGAGAGTTCAGGTTTTGCAAGCTGATGTGCTCCTTTGGTCTGACATGGTGACACGAGTCAGGATCCAAGTCAGACCATGGGCTCTCTCCATTACAAGCCACAGAGGCTCCTGTTGGGACCTTCACAAGCTCTTTTAGCTTCCAATCTAGGGCAAATACTCAGAACTTAAGAAGTCCATGAAGCCCTCAGGAGCCGATACTGGGGGTCCCAGCCAGACACTGCACCCTGGGGCCGTGGCTATGGACAACCTGACCGCTGGTGGGACAGAAGGAAGGAAGGTATCACCTTGCACATGTGAAGCCAGGGGCACGCTCAGGGGACACTGCTCACTGGTGCCAGACAGAAACATACTCCTCTTTGGCTTGCAGCCCCGGGGCTCCAAATCGCACATTGCCCAAACTTCCCTGTTTTAATGGAAAGTCAGAACCTAGCGTCATCGTGTCAGAGCAAAAATGAGCAATGCCTCTAACAAATCCAAAGCAGCAGCTCTGCATTTCGATTACTCTTTTACGCCCAATTGGCCACATTTAATCTTGTGAAGAACTTGAAGCAGATATTTGCTTCAGTGCAATTACAGCCACATACAGAACATTGGCAAATGCAAACAATATAGAATTTCCACTTGACGGCAGATTAATTTGGTGTGATGTTTTCCCTTGAGAGGTCTTAAAGGCTTGCAGTTCTGAAAGTACCCTGCAGTTTGTATTTATAGCACTATGGATATTGAATAGAAAGAGAAAAGCATATACTTGTTCTGAACTGAAGTTTCTTTTGCCTCCATACATTAAAAAAATTAACTGAGCATAGCACACTTCCACTGCATTTCTCATAATGCAATATGGAAACATGATTTCCCCGCAGAGCCTATAGAGAAATCCAGGTGGTGTTACCACTTTTATAAACATAGTAAGTGAAACACAAGCAATGCTACAGACTAATTTCCTCTCAGGGAACAGAGAGATGGGTCTTCCCTCCAGAAAGGGTCCCATCCTTTGAGACTGGAGTAAGCGGCCAGAAGGGAGTTCATAGCTAATGATGGAAAAATCAGTGAAGTTATAGCTTTCACAGGCCTCTTACTGGCTGCCACAGCAAGGAGATTAGATTTCAGTGAGCATGGTGGTTGAACCGCTCCTGGCACTTGGGTCTCCTCCATCTCGGTCTGTCTGGGGATCATTTTTTATTGCAGACCATGCTGAAGCTGTTTTGTGAGTAGTCTTTTCAGTTGCCTTACTAACCACTCCCTTCAACTCCCTGTAACTCACCCTCTGCCAAGCCAAATGGCGCTATATTAAAGCACAAGGTTATATATGAAACAACGGTCCAAAATCTCCATGCGCTGAGCCTGTCAGGACAGGTCATAATTCCCAGCAAGCTGCAGGTCTGGAAACATCTGTGGTTGCAAGGCGGAATTGAAAGTGAATAACTTTTCTCAGAGTGACCGAGTCTAAATTTACCCCAGCTGTGGCCCGATAGCCATTGAGGGACAATTTCAGCTGGCCAGGGACGGCGTGACTTGCGGCTGGGAGCAGTGAGTTCGGCTGGAGCTGCAGCCCACCAGGAAAGCCAGGGCACTGGCAAAGCAGGACTGCTGGCTGGATGTCACTGTTACAGGTGTATAAGTGGAGGTTTCCTCTTCAACATGGTGGGGGAAAACCAAAATGAAAACCCAAACAAACAAACAGCAAAGAACAAGAGGTCAAAACACTGACCCAAAGACAATGAAGTAGCTACCTGACTCTAGGACATAAAATAATGGGGGTGGTTCCAGTTATGTCCTGTGCTACAATTTTCAGATGCAGACTGTTGGCTCTTTGCAAGACACCAGCTCAGCTCAAGCAACAGGGAATAGCTTCTTTGCACCAGAGCCCTCCTTGCTAACACCATGGCGTTTGGTCCTGGTGTGGAGCTGCCAACTGAGCTGGGCACAAAGTCCTACTCAAGGGGGAACAGCCACCACAGACAGAGCCACGCTTGCCCAGTGGCCTACACTAAATATTACCTACCAAAAGCAATGTCAGTTGAGACCACAGGCAGGGTGGAAGGGATCAGAATGGCAGAATGAGACAAATTAATGGACAGAGAAGGGTCTATGCTGTCATCTTTTCCATGCCTACTTCTTACCCAGAGCACAGCAAACGCTGAGGTTTATTTAAGAAGACCTATCCATTCCACGTGCTTATGAAGGAGAGGCCTCCAGCCCTGTGGTGGAGCTGGTGCACTTCCCACAAGCAAGCCTGGGAGGGAGGATGGGCATCTTAGCCCCTTCTCGCAGACAAGGCACCTGGAGTTTGCCTGAACTGCAGCAGGATGTTTAGGGGAAAACACAAGAGAATTGCTCTCCAGCCTCCGGAATTGGCACAAAAGCACTAGAATGGTTTTCTCACATAAGATATCTTGCCTTCACCAGCTTTTCCTCCCAGACTTTCAGCAATGATAAATACAGAGAATATTGCTGTGGGCATGTCTGTGCTGCGTTATTTATCCTTCGGATTTACACTTAGGGTTTTATTTGTAAAAGGAAAGTGGGACCATAAATCTGCTCTGCAAAGAGCCAAGGGAAGAGAGGATAGAAATTTTCAACAAGTTGCACAGAAGGAGATGCTGCCAAGGACAGGTTTCCCATGGAAAGAAATGCCAGCCAGGATATTGCCCAGGTACACGCCGTGTGTGGCTGTGACAGCTAAGAGTCTCAGCCCTTTTCTTGCAGGTGCATTAATTCATGCCTCCTTGGACAGGTAGCTTTGGGGTTGCTGCAGCAAGGATCCCATCCCATCCCTCTGATGGGACCTTCTTAAGTCATAATTTTTGCCCATTTTCTCTTACCAAAAAATAATAATAATAAAAAAATCTGAACTAGGACCAAAATAGGCCACAAAGCTAAAAAACTGAGCATGGCCAAGACTAACCTGTCAGGGTTGAGTGACAAGCCACTGGACAAGCCTAAGCTGGCCACGTTCCAGAGTAACCATTTTGTTCCTGGACTTCAGTGCATACAGGACCCGCTCTTTGGACACAGCACCTGTAGGTGAGGATGGAGCCAGGCAGTCTCAGAGGCAGACCCCCTGGTTCTGTCTTACACTGGCCTGTTCCACTGCAGCCAGCGGCTCCCACTTGTGCTTTGACTTCAGCACTGCCCACCAAGGCCAGGTGACTTTCTCTTGCACAACCCTGATGTCTAGATCAGATCTGCCCAGCTCCTGCCAGCCCCTACAGAACTGCAAAGCCTTGTCAAGTCCACTTGCCAGATGTTTTCCTCCTCCCGTTATTTTCCCATGTCTTGTGTTTCCCTGACAAGGCTGAGCTATGTGTTACTGTGGAGAGGGGCTTTAGGATAGCGTGTGCTTTGCTAATTTACTTCCCAGTCTGAGATTCAAAGAGTACATGCAGCTCCTGAAGCCAAGTCAAACAGGAATCTAGGGCCCGCGAGGCTTTCAACAGTTAAGTTTTCTTTAGGCTACAATTATTTTGCTTAGAAACTAGACCCTTGATCTGTTGCAGGAGGCTGCAGTTTAATAAAGTCAAACAATTTGCTCTTTGCAATGTACTATTTGTGGTACAAGTATCATCGAGTTATACTGCTCCCCCTCACCGCTGCCTCCTGGAACCTCGTCTGTTTATATACAGAAAGCACTCTCAGGAAACACTCCTAAAAATACCCAGCAACGTTAGCTGTGGATCTGGCTCTGTCTCTCCTCTTCCTGCTTCTGCCTCCCTAACATCCTTCCATCATCTTCATGCTCAACAACCCCAGCTGTTCAAGCAAACTTAATCCTGTCTCACCCTCTAAAAAACCTGTTCTTCTCCTCCCTCCTCTGCCAGTAGCCATTCTCCACTCTGTCACAGAGTGTCTTCAATGATGCTGCCACGCCATGTCCTATCTTAGTGTTTTCTCACTCGATCACTAAATTACAGTGGTGCTCACATTGTCTTTATCAAATCTTTGAGTACACCTACATGGCTCTGCCCACTTTTCAGACAGCAAGAAGGTGCCAAGTCAGGGCAAAAACCTTACCAGAAAAAGAATACCATCTTTTACTTTACTTTATAAAGGGGCATTTGAAAACTGCAAAAGAAGATGCAGTACTCTCCACAGTCTAACTTTTGAAACCACTCTCAGGGAAGCTACCCTGGAGACAAAGCATCTCCCAATGGAAATGCCATCGCAAATAAAAATATTTTCACAGTAGTACAAACAGGAAATCTGCAGAGCAAAAATCCAGCCAGCTGACAAAAACATCAATTATTAAACTTCAGGTAAAATTCAAAAGCAGGTCTGGGATTCAGCTCACACTTCTGACCTGTTTGTTGCCCAAGATGTGGCCAGAGCCTCCCCTCACAAAAAAAAAGTCCCTTGTCAAGGGATAGAGTCTTCCAGCTGCTGCAGTCGGACCTGACTTGGTGCCAGCCATCCTTGTCACCACAAAGAACTTCCAGCACATTCAGTAGGCACCCACCACAGACCGAGATTCACAGCAGTGCAAAGGATCTCTGATCCTTCAGCCTGTCCTCATATCACCAATGGACATGAAAGTTTCTCTTCTGTACGTGCTCACCAGACAGACCCTAAAAATGAAAGCTCAACAACTCTGTGTTGTAGCACACAAGATCTACCCTTGTGGTTATTCCCAGTGTAAAACTCTTCTGAAAGGCAGTTGCTGCTCTACAAAGCCCTTTCTATGAAAACAAAGCATCTAATTCATCTAATTCCTCCTGTTTCTGTA